AGGATTTGGAAATTTGGTGTGCTCAATGTCAAAGCCAGTTGCATTGTTCCACAGCAGTAAATGTCTTCAGTTAATTACATATTGGTGAGAAATCTAAAGTTCACCAATCTAAAGCTCATTGCCTCATTAAAGATCCACAACCTAACAGATTATTACAGATTCAAATTCTAGAATCATGCCCTCTTCACAGGATAAATTGCAAGGCAAACTGAAATTTTAATGGTGCCCACCTGCAATGTACATCTCTATGGGAGAGAAATCATTAGTTGAATCTGTATGAGTTCCAAAGTGTAACATTTCATGCTCAGAGATGTCAAATCACTGCTGCTTAAAGCAACATAAAGGCTAACAATAAAGAGAATCTTTGACATTGAACTGTCACAAAATCACTAAAAGTTGTAACCTCAGTGTTATCTAAAAAAAGACAGATAAAACTATTATGGGCAGGTGAGAAAAAGAAAGTCAAAGGCCAATGTGCTTACGTGATTTCAAAACAAATGAGTACAAATGACTAAAAATGCAAATATGAGAAATGGAAATCAACTCTCCTGAGATGAAACTACTTCCTACGTAAAGGGAAAAACTGCAGGGTTAAAGAAGAGGAAGCCACAAATATGAAAAAAAGAGGAGACCCTAAATTAAGCAGGAGATTGGCCTAAATGACCTCCAGGGTTCTTTCAACTCTAAGATTTTGAGATTCTTGGATTCTATGAAACAGGGTACATGGTCAACAAACCAGAGCCAGGCCATGGGTTGCTTCTGAGTTTACATCCGTGTCTGAAGCCAAGGCAAGTGCAGGGGCCTGGATGAGAGCAGCTAGATTGCAGGGTGGAAAGCAACTGCTCCACGGGGATTTTAGCTGGCAGTGAGGAGAAGTGTCGAGTTCTCTGTGAGCAGTGAGAATGGAGAATTTAACAGAGTGTAAATATGGAAAAGGCATCTCTTGAGAGGTTTCAGGTAGTAGACTAAATGAAACACATCCTGGTCTCATTCTGGTCCAAATCATGCTTGGAGCAGAGCAAGATGAAGATAAGTCCTTCACCCACTTGGTTCCTGGATGTCCTGGACTGTGATACATTTATCTAAAATCTAGTTTCAAATAATTTAATTCAAACGGGTCTTACAAACAGCTACTTGAGTAAACATGTTTTCAGAGGTAGGTTCCTGCCTTCAGACATTGTCACTTGCTATGCCTCCTTGTGCAGTACTGCGCAGAACTCCCCTGCTGCTCCCCCTCTCTGATTGAAGACTTTAGCACTTGGTTCACCCTCTCTTCCACCTCTTTACAGTCACTATTCTTGGTGGCTCATCATTCACATGTGTGTTGTTTGTGACAGCTGGCACTGTCAGCCCCTCCACTTCCAATGATCTGGTTCTTTCAAAGGATGACTTTGCCTTAGACTGCACTGAGCAAAAGGGAGCAATTCGATAGGAATTGCCTCCTCCTTCCACCATGAAAACTTTCCTCCCCTACCAATTCCCTAACACAGTGCTGCCACTGATGTGCCAACAGTGAAGCAATTCTTGCTGCCCTCACTGTCCAGCCCTTAACTACGGTGCCGAGGTATGGTCTGCAAAGCCAAAAAATTTTACTATCTGGACCTTTAGAGAAAATGTTTGCCAACCTCCAAGCTACACTGTTATGAAATGCTCACTATCCAAAATAACCTCCAGTATTTACTTATTCACATCCACCCTATCATGGCAATATTTTAAAATTACAAATGAGTGCGTGCATTTCCTAGCTTCTCAATGTGGGGGGAGGGAGCTGCAGCTGGTAACTCTGTACTTTCTACTTTCTTCCCCTTTGGGCACCTCTCCCCCTCACCTCTGCCATCCCCATGATGGGGGAGGTCCTCCTTTACTGCTCTGGCCCAAGTATGAACATGCAACACTTCCTTTATTAACTATCCATAATAGAGTTCAGCAAGACCAAAGCATGTAAATGAGCCTTTAAAAAAATGGTGAATGAACAAAGAGAAACACATATCGATAAGATAGCTCTAAGGAACAGTGTATCATCTATAGTTTGGAGTCTCCTCCCAGGTATTCTGAGTGGTTCTAAGTGTCCTCCCTTCCCCCAACACCTGGGCATATTCTCAAACATGTCTGGGCATCTAGAGCTCAAATTCAAGAATGATTTTCCACTAGAAGGAAAATGTGGCTGCTCTCTTCCCAATATCAGTATCAGGCCTGCCTTTGATACATACTGATTTCAGGACTGTCCTCCTAAACACTGGCATTGTTTTTTGTCAATGTCAAAGTGATTTCTTTCCTCCTTTTTTTTTTTTTTTTCTCATTCAGATTTATACTTGGTTGCTGCAGAGGTTTCTGTCCTCTTATCCCTTACTTAGTGGTCATTAGTGGAGAAGTGTTCCTCCTGGAGGACCATGACAGGACAGTAAGTGATCAGCAAACGTAGCTCTTGCTATTTTCTTCCATTGAAACCTGAAGCGCTGAGAGGTTAAGGAACTTGTTTGAGGTCCCAGAATTCATATTTAGAGAAGCCAGGCCTTGAACACAGTTCTGCTTTATCCCAGAGCCCCTGGTGTGGGCTCTGTCCCCTCCGGTGGCCTTGCTCTGAGAAGCCTGGTGATTTCTCCACGGTCCTTCCATCCCCCACGGGGTGGGCCTCCGTGTTCTATCCTCTTCCTCTGTCACTTCCTCTTCCTGTTTCTCTCGCCCTTCTTTTTCTATCTTTTCTAAACATGCCCTTCTTTTCTTTCCTAAAGCCTTCTCTTCACCAATCTCTTTCCAGAAGTGGTAGCATTTATCCTTGCAGTGGAGACTTAGAGGTAAGAAAGGCTTACATAACACATTCTGAAAATATTCTCAATTTTTCAGGAATATGAAGAGTGATCCAGGAATCAAGCCTGGGACTCCTGTTTGCTAGCCCAGATGTAAAAAGGAAAAAAGCACAGGCAACAAGAAAGGGGACGTGACATTTGCTAATCACCCACTAAGTGCCAGGTAATGTCCGGACACTATGTATGCATTATCTCATTTAAACCTCACATGATTCAGGGGTGCACAGGATTAAACGGGTACACATGATTTCTTGCTGAGGACAAGGAGTCTAGGAAAGGTTAAATGATTTACAAAAGACATGCGGCTGGTAAACAACAAGCTGAGAACTGAGCCCAGGTCTTGATGTCTCTGAAGACCCTGCTCTTCCCATGAAAGCTCACTATATTGAGCAAAGAGCTGAACATTCCACAAACTATAATAGATAATCCAGACATTGACTGCATAATTAGGATTTGGAAATTTGGTGTGCTCAATGTCAAAGCCAGTTGCATTGTTCCACAGCAGTAAATGTCTTCAGTTAATTACATATTGGTGAGAAATCT